ACACTGACATGAGTCCCCCTCCCCCTCATAGACAGCACTAGGTTGATGGGAGAGATTGTCTCGTTGCCATAGTTACCATCTTTTGGGAAGGTGGATTAAGTACACTGACAGGAGATCTCCCATTAGCATATGAGCACCTTCACTTAAGTGCTACAGTGACATAGCTACACCAATGCAACATTTTCAGTGTAGACCTGCCCACAGGGAGCACTATTTCCTCCAAGACAGAGCAGAGCTGCAGGCCCCAGCATGGGCTGAGAAGGGTATGATGCTGCAATCTTTTTGTAAAAAATAGGCCTCGCCCACGTAATCATTAAAGACCCAGAAAGGGGTGAACTCAGAGACAGATTAAACAGTGTCAGTGATGTACATGGGTTGAACTTTAACTGAGCTGGTGAAAGAGCATGTGATAAGATGGGGCTATCATCAGGCTAAGAGGGCTGGTGGTTGGGGTAAAGTAGAAACAGGAGCCAGAAGGAGGAAAAAGCAATCCCCTGAGCTCCAGCTAAAAACCTGTCTTCTGCCCCAGTGCAGGTAAGTCACACCTCAATCATCTTTTTATTTGGTCCAGCATCCTCAAAACATTGTATGGTTTAAAACTAATAGCGCTTTATATCTTCATAGTGCTGTACACAGACCAAGTCTCAAAACAGCCATTTGACGATCACTGGGTAGATTAGCTCCTTTTCATAGCTAATGGAAGCTACGGCACAGAGTTGTCTCTAAAATTACACGGCAAATCAGCACTAAGAAGTTCTTACTTGTAGTTCCAAACACCTCCTTTTAGATCATGCTGACGCTCGAGACACAAATAAGGAACCATCACTACCCCACGCCTTTTTTAATCTGCTAAAACAGTTATTTATGGGCTGTGAAGTCAGACTGTGAATCCCTCCAAAATTTCTAATGACTGCAGCATTATGCTAAAGGTAAAAGCATTGCCCCTTGGTGTGGGTTTCCCTGCCACAAGGGTTGAGAGCTTTTAGACCTCCCGTTCTCAGATAGACCTCCCGTTCTCACTGTAGCTCCACATTCAGACTCACAAACCTTATACACCAGCCAGTAGCACAGCCTAAGGACTCTGCCCCAAAGAACCCAACAGCTTCAGCCTTGTGTGAAAGAGAGAGCAAGGAAACCAGGCAGAAGTGGCGTGAGTGGCAGAATGACACAGAAGAGGCTCAAAAGCTCCTATGTACTACGCAGGCACAAGTGACCACAGCTACTCCAGAAAGCTTCCCAGTATTCCTTTCCCTTGGTGTGTGACCCAGAGGAGAGGCTCGTTAGGGCAGTATGTTGCAAGGATCTGTGGTGCAAATGAGACCATCTAAGAAGTTGCTGGTAAGTCAACAGTGGGGAGTATGACAGAGGAAGAGCAGGAGAACACACAGCTGTTGATAAGTAAGTTTATCTTTATTAAAAAGTCAAAGTTCAACTGAAGCCTCAGTATTACAAATACTCAGGCTCAACAGTGCCCTGGCATAAAAAGTTGTATCCCAAAGAGGGCTGTCGATAGATCAGCTCAACAAAAATATATTAACATCTGCCTAAAATATATTTGCCCTTTCAACTGAATGGATTATCTCACAACATACAAGGACAGGGCTTCCTGGTTCACAGGAGGGATGTTGTGGTCAAAAGAACCTGCCTCATGCATACCTACGATGTGTGCTTTTCAATGCTTCCACTCTAATACAGGCAGTCCCCGGGTTACGTACAAGATAGGGACTATAGGTTTGTTCTTAAGTTGAATTTGTATGTAAGTCGGAACTGGCTCCAGATTCAGCCGCTGCTCCTGAAACTGACCAGGGGCTGACTACAGGAAGCCGGAGGCAGA